GATCCTGGACACCGCCACGGTCAGGTTCGAGCCGCTGGCTCGGGGCAGACCTGTGCCAGAGAGGTGTCGGAACGACTGCTTCCTTTTCGACCCGATCCCTGTTAGGGAGCTCAGCGAGGCCATCGCGCGTGCGAAGGTGCTGGCCGACATCGCTGGGGAAGACATCGAGGTGGACGACGCCGAGGTCTGGGTGGTCTCTGACACGTCCCACCCGCGGTTCGGGGAGCAGGTCGAGCCTGGCATCTTGGACGACGCTGGGCGGGCCCTGCTCCGGGACACCAAGGGGGTGGTGCAGCTTGACGCCAACGACGCCTCGACGGAGGTGCACGTGGAGCGCGTCAACCAGAACGACCTGGCGGACTGGAAGAGTCGGGTCGGCGGTGGAGGCGACCTGCGACTCCTCGGCACCTTCCGCACGGCAGGGGGCAAGCGCTTCCTCCAGGCGAAGGACGCAGTCGCCAAGCTCGAGGAGACTAAGTTCGACGACTTCCCGTTTGCTGACCCGCGTGCGGTCAAAGAGTACCTGGGCGGGATCCTGGAGACCACCGATGGCTCGTTCGACAGCTACCATCAGAACTGGTGCGTGGCGGCCGGGGTCTCGCCCAACAGTGGGATCGCGCATGACCATCGCATCATCCTGGAGGCGCTGCGCTTGGGGCTCACCTATGACCAGTACAACCTGGCAAACTCTGCCATGGGCGAGCAGCTCGTCAGGAGGCTCATCCAGCATGAGCTCGCGGTGGAGAAAGACGCGAAGCACCCCGACTACAGCGGGCTCGGCTACATGTTGGCGGGCTCGACTGAGGACAAGGGGCGCGTGGCCGTTCCCAAGTTCACCAGGTGGATCGCCGAGAAGCAGCACCAGCGGGCTTTTACCCTCAAGCAGTCGCGTCTACTTCGGGAGGAGCGGGCTGCCGAGGACAAGAGGCGCGGCGGCGGCCAGAAAGGTTTCAAGGGCGCCTCCAAGGGGAACAAGGGCGACGCCGCCGACGGCGGCAAGGGAGGGCAGGGCTAGCAGCCCTCGCTGCCCACGCGGGACCGAGTACCTGGTCGGTCTCGCCGTCACTAACTTCGCACAGGTAGGAGCCTCCAGTCAGTTGCTTCGGGCTCCGAGTTTTGTATGCCGTGGTCTTCACGATCGTGGTCGGCGGCGGCATGGTGATCCTCTTCCCCTGCCAGTTCGCTTGGTGAAGGGCTCCCTCGGGGGCTCCGGACGCCGGTGGCGAGGAATGCGCGGGCAACCTGGACATCAAGACCAGCGTCTTGTCGAGTCAGTTCGCTCACTCAATTTCCTGTATCGCACCAGAGTATGTTCAGACGTGAACTGCCTATACCGTGGCAGTTCGGGCAAGGCCTCTTCTTCACAGATGTCCATCCTGAAGTCTCTGGATGACCGCATCTCTCTCTACGGCGAACGGCCGCGAGACCTGACCCCGCTGAGCGCGCTCAACGAAGTGTGCAAAGCGAAAGACCTGTACACGCAGGAGCCACAACACATGGCGCCGTACCTTCCTGACAAGCTGAAGGCGACGAAGGGCGCCACCACCCCGCTCCCTTTAGAGTCCGTGCTCCCTCCCGGCGCGCTGCGGCTGGCGACGGACTTCAAGAAACACGTGTTGAAGAGTGAGAGCGAGCTTGAGGCAGATCGTTTGAGAGGCGTCTCTGTCACTCCGTACTGGTGCCCGGACCTGCGGCGCTCAAAGCAGCGCCGCCGCGAGCTGTTCGCCACGCTGTACAACCGCCAGCTTCTCACCTTCAGGCGACGCATCTTCTCGAGGGTCTCAATCTTCTTCGTCAGGAAGAAGACAGGTATGACCAGGCTGATTGTGGACGCCCGCTCGACCAACGAGAAGTGCCGGATGCCCCCTCACACTGACTTGGGCACGATCGCCGCCTTGGCGGACGTGGATCTCAGCCTGGCCGAGCTCTCCGATATCGCGGACGCCGAGCTGAGCACCGAGGAGGAGGCCGAGCTTCTCAAGGGGCAGGGCGGGCTTTTCTCTCTCCCTTTCTCTGGGAGCTCTCTGGACGTGGTCGACGGCTTCTACCAGTTTGACAACTGGCGTATGGCGAGCTGGTTCGGGATGGATGATCCCGACGAGGCTGGCGTCTACGGAGTCACCGAGGTCTGGGATGACGACCTCGAGGAGATGGTGCCGCTGCAGCCCACTGACATCGTGTACCCCTGCTTCAGAGCGCTTAGCATGGGTTTTACGTGGGCTCTCTATTTTTGTCATTCAGCTGTGGAGCATATCGTCGCTGCCGGGGTCCCTGGAGGCGCCTCTCGAGCTGCTCGGGAGAAGCACCGGGCGCCGCGGGCCTCGTTTGCAAGTCCGATCACCTCGACCTATGTCGACAACGCGGCCCTGCTGTCTGCTAATACCAGTACTTCAGACCTACAGACTGTTCTTCATCAGTTCTCTGCGCGCGACATGCGCGCACACGACATAGTAGATCACACCTTTGCGCTAGAGCACTTGGGCGCCATCTTCGACGGACATCGGCGTCTTCTGCATCACCAGCCGCGCCGAGTGTGGCGAGTGTACCTGGCCGGCAAAGAACTACTCCGACGTCGGCGACTTCGAGGTGAGGTCCTTCGAGTCTGGATCGGCCACGTGGTGCACCTCTTCATGCTCAACAGGCCGGCGTTGTCCTGTCTGTGGGCAGTCTACCAGTTCATCCAACATGCACTCGAGCGGCGGTGCCGGGTGTGGGGCTCTGTGCGCCAGGAGATTAAAGTGATTCTGGGTCTAGTCTTCCTCTGCCAGCGCGACTTGAGTGCTCCACGGTTGCGGATGGCCTACTGCTCTGACTCCTCTGACTTGGGGTACTGCTTGGCGGTCACGAGCGCTTCGGATGCGGAGCTCAGAGAGGCGGCAGCTTATCACGAACGATGGCGTTTCATCGAGGATCGGTCGGACCCGCGGTGCGAGCTGGTCCCCTACCTCGAGCTCTGCGACAGCGCTGGCCTCTCGCCCCTGGGGGGCTCGCCAGAGCCGTGGCAAGAGGATCACGTGCCATCCGCCGTGGCTGCTCCTCCTCGCCCCCCCACTCAGCTGGAGCGTCAGTATCGGGAGGGAAGTGACAGGCTCGCCCCTGGAGGAGTTCGCCGAGCACTTCGAGAGCGAGTTCTGCGGGAGGATCCTCGTCAGGTGCCCGCACTCGGTGCCAACTGGGACCCGCCCGAGCGCTGGAAGACCCTCTTCGAGCGGAAGTGGAATGACCCAACTGAGCACATCAACACCAAGGAAGGCAGGGTGATGCTGGCGGGGCTTCGGCGTGCCTGCCGCAACCCGCGCTGCCACAAGAAGCGGCTCCTCTCCCTCTCCGACAGCCTGGTCGCCCGTTGCGCCTTTGATCGAGGGCGTGGGCGAGGCACGGAGAAGACCAACTGGGGCCTTCGCTATCTTGGCCAACGGGCAGCAGCTCTGCAGATCGCCTGCGACATTCAGTGGGCGACTCGACACCTCGAGGGAGTTCGCAACCCCACGGACGCGGGCTCTCGCCGTTTTGACGGGGGTGCTGACCCGACGGAGAGGGCGCGCAACCTCGGCTTGGAGCGAGGCGGTCATGACATGGCTATCGTTCGCGCTTCCTGCCGAGTTCGCCCCTCTGGTGGCGCGTCAGGCGCGCTGGCCCGTCTTTTGCACTTGCCAGGCGTCGCTGCTGTACGAGCGGCGCCCGCTGCCTCGAGAAAAAAGAAGACGCACTTCGTCATGCCTGAAGACACCCCTGCGGGTGCGTGTGCATCCTCCTCTACCTGTCCCTCTAGGACTCAGGCCCCCTCTCCGGGCTCATCAAGGAGGCCCTCACCATCGAGTACGGCGCCCCGCAGGACTTCTACGGGGCCTCCCACGGGCACCTCAAGGGCTTCAGCGTATTCTTCGGCTCCCGGCAGGACCTCTTCGGGGACTCCATCAAGGTGCTCACACGTCCCAGTCTTGGAGGCCTCCAAGCCCAAGGGCTACGACTTGAACCGCACACTGCGCGTTAGGAGAGGGGCGATCTTTTTGGAGCTGTTCGCGGGCCACGAGGGCCTCACCAGGGCCGTGGCCTCTCTAGGCGTTCCAAGTGGAGAAGGTATCGAGCTCTCGAAAGGCCCCGAGTATGACCTCTTGGACCCCGGCATCAGGCAGTACATCATCGGTCTCATTCAACGGGGCAAAGTTCTATGTGTGTGGTTGGGGACCCCTTGCAGTGCCTTCAGTATAGCTAGGCGAGGCGTTCGGAATCCAGAAGTTGCTCGTGAAAAGGACTGGCTAGGGGCCCAACACGCATGGTTTTCGTCAGAAGTTATTCGTGAATGTCTGAAGTACAACGTGGCCTTTGTCTTGGAGAATCCTCTCACGTCTCGTCTCTGGGGCTTTGAGCCGATCATGGAAATCATGTCTTACTCACGTGTCTCAGTTGTTGAATTTCACGCTTGCGGCTTTGAAGGAACCATCAAGAAACCCACTCGGTTGATTGGCACTCTTCCTGGCCTGGAGCAGTTGTCTAAAAGATGTCCTGGCGGCCACGCTCACACGGTTGTGACGGGTAAGTCTTATCTCTGGAATGCTGACAGGCAGGCATATCGATGGACGCAAGCTTCTCGAGCCGCAGGAGTCTACGGCTCAAAGTTCTGCTTCAATGTAGCACGGCTGGTTCGGGCCCACGCACAGCGGCATCATATCTTCCCCTTTTCTCAGGATGCCACGGCTCGACACATCGTTAGCTCGGCCAGTCTCCAACAAGCGCACGATCCAAACCTCCGGCGTCGTCAGCGAAGGGGCTTTGACCAGTGGAAGTCGGCCCCGCACGTCGGCGACGAGCTCGACAGGGCCCCGGGCAGGCTCATCGCTTACGTCGGCCAGCAGTGGCGCGACCTTGCGCGCTCCCGCGCAGAGGCTCGGCGCTCGGCGACCGCGTCTCGCGCGACCGCCTGCTGTACGACACGGACCTGCCCCTCTGCCTCGGAACCTGGTCGAGAACAGCGTCTCGGCCGCCACCCTGCACACCTA